AGCATTAGTGTTTTAACATTTGCCATTCACATTTAATATTCACATTCTCTTGCTAGCAATACTAACCTTGCACATTTATTATTGCCATTTTACAGAACATAAAATTAAAACTCAAGGAGGACAAAATAATTTGCTGAAGATCCCATAACTAGCAAATATGATTTAGAGTTGTCTGTTTTAAATTCAAAACTCTTTTCATCTGAAACACAGCAAGAGTCCCCCAATCTAACTGATCATCAGGATCAATAGAGAACGTTTTTAATATTTCTGTGTTCCTACACAAACAATGAATAAGTGGGAACAAATTAAAAATATATTACCACTTAAAATAGCACTCAAGTAAATGACACAGGAATATATCTAACAATATATGTACAATATCTACATGAGTAAAACTATATAACCCCGATTATGAATTTAAAAAATGAATAAAAAAACACTAAATAAATGAACAGATATTCCAAGTTCATGAATAGTCTAGGAAGACTCAATATCGTCAAGATACCAGCTCTTCCTAACTTGATCTGTAAATTCAATGAAATTTCAATAAAAATTCCAGAAAGTTATTTTTGAATATTAACAAACTTGTCCTAAAGTTTATATCGAGAAGCTGAAGATCCAGAATAGCCAACACTAAAGGAGAGGAACAAAGTTGGAGGACAGATGTCACTTGACTTTAGGACTTACTATTAAATTCTAGCAATGAAGACAGGGTGGCACTGGGGGAAAAAGCAAACATGATATATAACTTAAAAATAGAACCACACAAATATAGTCAACTGATCTTTGACAAAAGAGTAAAGACATTATAATTAAGCAAAGATGATATTTTTAAAAAATTGTGCAGGAACAACTGGATATCCACATGTAAGAAAACAAAAAGGAAATCTCAACACAGACCTTAAAACATTCACAAAAATTAATACAAAATGAATTACAGACCTAAGTGATAAATGCAACACTCGATTCCAATATTATAATATAGGGAAAATATAGATGAGCCAGGGTTGAAGATGACTTTTTAGATACAATTTGACCAGTTTTTAACTAAATCCAATATCCAAAGGCACAACCCATTAGAGAAATAATTGATTAGCTGGAATTAAAATAAAAATTTATGCTTTGAAAATGACCTTACCAAGAGAATGAATGAAAAGGCAAGCCAAGGACTGGGAGAAAATACTTACAAAACATCTGACAAAATACTGTTATCCAAAATATAAAAAGAACTCTTAAAACTTAATAAAAAACAAACAACCTGGTTTAAAAAATAGGACAGTGACCTTAAAAGACATGTCCATAATAAAAATAAACAGATGGCAAATAAACACATGAAAATATACTCTCTCTACATCATATGTCATTGGGAAATGCAAATAAAAACAAAAATGCAATACCATTGCACATCTATTAGAAGGGCTAAATTTAGAACACTGATAATACTAAATGCCAGTGAGGATGTGGAATAATAGGAACTCTCATTCAATGCTAATAAAAATCCAAAATGCTGCAGCCACATTGAAAGATAATTTGACACTTTATTAAAAACTAATTCACTGGGCCCTAACCAATTTGGTTCAGTGGATAGAACATTGGCCTGCAGACTGCAGAGTCCCAGGTTCTATTCCAGTCAAGGGCATGTACCTTGGTTGCAGGCACATCCCCAGTAGAGGTTGTGTGGGAGACAGATCATCAATGTTTCTCATCAATGTTTCTGACTTTCTATCCTCTCCCTTCCTCTCTGTAAAAAAATAAAAAATAAAAAAAAATAAAAATAAAATTATATATATATTTACTTGGGCATATACTCTTACCATATAGGATCAAGCAATCACTTTTTTTGTATTTAGCCAAAGGAGTAAAAATGTGTGCCCACACCCACACAAAAACTTGTACATGGACATTTACGGCAGCTTTATTAATACTTGCTCAACTTGAAAGGAACTAAAATGTTCTTTAGTAAACTGGTACATCCAGACAATTAAATATTACTAAGCAATGAAAAATGAGCTATCAAGCCATGAAAGGACATAAAAGAAACTTTAATGCTATTATTAATTGAGAGAAGCTAATCTGAAAAGGTTACTTACTGTTTATTTCCAACTCTATGACATTCTGGAAAAGGCAAACTATGGAAATGGTGGGAAGGAAGAGATGAATTGATGAAGCACAGATGACTTTTAGGGCAATGAAACTACTCCATCTGATACTATAATAAAATATACATGCTATTACACATTATACAAACCCACTGAAAGTACATTGAGAATGAACCCTAATGGGAACTGTGGACTCCGGGTGTTGATGTGTCCCTGTAACTTCATCCATTATAACAAATGTACCACTCCGGTGGGGGATACTAATGATGGATGTTAATGAGGCTATGCATGCATGGAGGGAGGCAGTATATTGACAATAAGTTCTGCCCAAGTTTGTTGCTAATCTAAAGCTGCTCTTTAAAATAATGTCCTACTAAACAAAGTTTTTAAAATTCTTGCCCAATATTTAGTGAATCAGAATTTTTGCTATGGGGCCATAGAATCTGCAGTTTACAAAGCAGTCTGTGATTGTGATGCTCTCTCTGGTTTTAAAATGACAGGCCAACTTTCAATTGAAGCTAAATGTAATCAATTAAAGTTAGGAAAGGTTCAAGAAAAATTGTATGAGAAAACTAAGACATTATGAAGAATAAGGACTTAAAATAGATCCCCCAAATCGCATCAGCATTTACATTCATATTCAATACCGTACATGAATGCCAAGTGATGTTCTTCTCAAATCACCAGTATTATCTTAAAAAGATGATGCTGATACTGTTGCTCCCTGGATCACACATTGAGTAGCGAGGCTATAGACCATTAGCTCATTGAACATGGTTAATTTGGTTTCAGTCACTTGGGTATATACCTAGTACATATGACAATTCCTAGAAAATAGTGGATGCTTACCATGTATTTTTTGAATGAATAAATCTCCCTGTGATCCCATCTGATTAAGGACTTTCGTTTGTGCGTTGCCTAACATCTATGTACAGATATAATTCATCTTTCCATGGCATTTATAATAGCCTTCTGAAGTAGAACTTTTGTTTATTTTTTTCCTTCTTTCCTTTCACAAAAGATAAATTGCTTATAGGCAGGGTGTCTATATAATTTTCTACATGTTTCTTAGTACTTAGGACAGTGCTTGGAACATAAAAGCCACTTAGAAAATGTATCTGAAATAAATAAGTTATTTGGAAATGAAAAGCCTGCTTTTTATCCCCCAAAGCTGCCATGGATCTTCCACTGACATGTATTTCTCTGACCCGAAGCATGGTCACATATTCTCAGGAGATTGACGACGGGTACATACTGGAGACAAATGAGTAGGTGTCCTGGAGCAGAAATTCACTGCAGTGTCATTCTTAGATTAGGCACAGGAGCTCAAAAGATTTGGCAAATGAGGAAATGTCCTTATAGGGGTAGACTCAGTGCATTAGCAGTTATTTTCAACTGTTGCTTTTTTGTCGTGAAAATAGGTGTTCTGCCAGGTCAAAACTTTTTTTTGCCACCTGCAAGGTCATTGCATCTTCCCAGATTTGGCACTGAATCTAGTCTGGCAAGTCTGGCTTCTTAAAGTGGATTAGGTGGGCCCCAAAGAGAGCCCTGTCCTGGCTGCATTCCCAGTTCATATACCTAAAAGCTTTAGTGGCATATCTGTGAGGACAGCCATCTCTTTTGTCCCTCTTTGGACTTGAGTCTAGTTTCCTTACCTAAGCATTGTGCAGATTTCATACACTGCCATAGCACATGCCAGTCCTGTGACACAACTAGCTGCTTGTCACTGTCACCTTATCTCTATTCTGGTAGATAAGACATAAATTAAACCTGTGGCCAAAGTCCAGAGTCCATTACTCAAAATTGCTTCAATGTATAACCCTTTCATGTGAAAAGGGCTATATTGACAGGCTGTCTCAGCCTTTTTCAGAAAAGCAGAAAGACATAGTTGTCCATGCAGGCCCTTCTCCCTGTCTGTTCCCTCTGAACTTCTGGAGGCTTCCTTATATCTCACATGGTGGTGGATGCAGTTACTCTTTGTATAAGAACAAAGAAAAGGAGTAGTGATATAAACTTGAGGGTTCATTTCCATATCCAGTGTAAAAAAAAAAAAATTGGGATCATCAGAAATTTTGCCTAGAAAAAGGTGTACAAGAGTTTAAAATATTCTTATTTGTTCTATCAGTTTAGATTTTCCTGTTTTACTGTTTAATACACTGCTGGGTGAACCATGGAAGTAATAAAGATAGCTATGTGTATTATGGATATGTAACTATATCCATGAATGACTAAGTAATCTAGGTAGCATGTAAATATAGATATCTAAGTGTGGACAGATAGACATTTTAAACTTCTATACAAAGTTCTTTGGAGCACTGGAATAAATTTTTGTGGGCAAGCAACCTAGTTGCTCTACAAGGAAACCTGTCTTGCCTATCTTATGTAGTAACTTGTTTTGGACAACTGCTAGAGTCTTTCATTTGATTCTATTTAAAAGTGAAAGGGGAATTTGAAATGACTTTTGAAACATTCTGGAAATGTCTGCTGGAGCGAATCCACCTCCAGGGAAGCCAGAATAGGGCTCCCTGAGGCCAGGGAGGCAGTAGGAGCACGCATGCTTCTGGGCTTTCAGTGAGAGAAGCCTCAAGATACCATACCAACAAAGTCTTGGAAGAACACAGAGCCCTCTTCTCTGTTGCACTTCCAGCTGCTCCCTGAAAATATAATTGTCTGAGACCCTCCCAGTTCCCTGCTTCCAACCAGAGTCCAGGCAAATTAGAATTGGTAATGACCCTAGGGAATCACGCCCTCTTTCCTGGAGGAGAGAGGGGGAGTGGTAGGACTCTCCCTGCAACTGTCAGGGATGGGGTGTCAGGGTGGCACTGGCCTGGAGCCCAGGCTGCGCCTCAGTTCTTCAGGCTGTGCTTCCTGGGCACCCACCGTGCTCCGGAGGGCACTGTCCCCAGCACCCGCCCAGCACCACTTTCTTCTGACGTCCGATCTTGAGATCTGACGATCGCCCCCACCGGCCGCTCTTATAAAGGGGACTTTTGCCAATTCTGGGATGTTAACCAGCCTCGCCTCATGCCACACGCCCTCCGCCAGCGCCCACACCTGTCACCTCCTCCTCGTGAGCCCAGGTTCTTGGAGAAGAGCCGCCCCCTCGGGGATCCTGACCCAAGCGCCTGGCCCTGCTCCCCACCCCCGAACCCCCGGCCACACCCTCCCACTCACCCTGGCGCGCGCATACACACACACACACACACACACACACACACACACACACACACACACACTCCACTGCACCCTTGCAGACCCGCCTCCGCGGTTCCTGGGGCAGCGGTCCTGGAGCAGCCAGACAGGTTCAGCGATTCTCCGCGTGGGGATCCCTCAGGTAGGCACGGAGCAGGGCGTTTTCAGAGCCCAGGGATAGGGTATTTTGCCTCTTGGTGGTGATGTGCGGGCCGTCCACTCCCTTGCACTCATAGTTCTCAGGTTCCAGCGCCTAGAAAGTCTGGTTAGAAAAGCTACAAGGTCCTCGCGCAAGAGGTGGGCAGAGGGGCCCAGGAAGGGTCCAGGAGCACCCAGCTGTGACCCCAGAAGGAACTTCCCGGGTAGGCTGGCTTCTTTTCCTTCCTCCTGAGTCTTAGGGAAGCTAGCTCTTCTCCCAAGGAAGAAAATGCTGGCTTAGAATGTGTGGCTGGTTTATAGTGTGTTACTTTATTTTCTTCCTTACCCACCTGCGTGCACAAATAGCAGTTTTCCCCAAAAGCGTGTTTGTGTGAATTGGGTGCGTGAAATAGCTGTGGTCATGATGGGGGGAGGGGGAATCAAAGAAAAGGTGAAGATGTTAGAAGTTGGCATCTGTCTTCTGAGAGTCTTGATTTTAATGTCTTTGGCACTTTTACATTTTTAAGGACTTAATGTAATTTTTAAATGGTTTCTTGTATATACCATTGAGGGGGAGGGGCGATGAAAGGAACAAAGGACAGTGGATGGGGAAGAATTTTGATCAAGATGTTACACATAACATCGTTAGTAGCTACAGAAACTTGAATCACAGGCACTTGTTGAAAATTGGAGTTGATGTGTTTTAGGAATAGATTTGCCTAAACCTCTTTTGTGTGTTTTTTTCTTAAGATATTTTCAACTCACATTGCTTTTGGACCATTCCCTGAAACTGATAAAGAAAGGGAAAGAAGAATGAATGAATAAATGAACAAATATGTTATAATTCTCAGAGTAGTCTTTTATGATATACTTACGTTATTGAATAATTCTAGATGGAATAGTAACTTAGTTCTCAAAAGCAAACAGATACATGCTCTAAGTGATTTCTTGACTGAATTACTGAGTTAAGGTAGAGGAAAAGGTTAATTTTATATGGAAAGAATTTATTAAACACAGAATGATCATGATTACATCTTTACAAGGGTTACAAAGCATTTTCATTTTTTCCCTTGAATGCTCAAAACAATGTTATACTGTTAAATAGAATAATATAATAGGCACCTGTTGGTAACTACTAGTTTAACATGTGATTTTAATGTACTTTTTCTTCAAGTGGCAAAGGGTTTATCACCAGCCAATTGATTTACTTCTGACTGGCTATGTATGTATGGCTGGTTTATAATGTGCTACTGTATTTTCTTCAGAGGTCTAATGAAGTAGCCAGCTGTGGAAGATTCCAGACCTCTAGATAAAAATGGCTTTCCATGTGGAAGGACTGGTAGCTATCATCCTGTTCTACCTTCTGATATTGGCTGTTGGAATATGGGCTGCCTGGAAAACCAAAAACAGCGGCAGCGCAGAGGAGCGCAGGGAGGCCATCATAGTTGGTGGCCGAGACATCGGCCTGCTGGTGGGCGGCTTCACCATGACAGGTAGGTGCAGATGTCCAGCTCCATGCTGCCTGCGCCTCCTTGGCCTCTCAGAGTGACAAAGCAAATGCTACTTTGTCCTTAGGATCCTTTGTGTTCATTACATGTACATTTTAAAAATAATTTTACATCTATTTACAAAAAAATATAACTGTTTAACTCAGTAGTATTTGAACAAAGTGATCTTATAATTAACCACTATTTAGAATCTGAATAAAACAAACCTAGGCTGTTCAGTGGGTGGGAACACGGAAAACAAAGAGATGGGTGAAAGTGCAAAAGTGTCTTAGTCTTACAAGTTCTGTATCTGGTAATTAATGTGATAAGGTCAGCATCTCATCTTGTTCACTAACTTGGGTAAGAAGTTGTGACTTTGCATTGTCTGAAATGATGAGTATCAGTAAACAATAACTAGTGATGGCTTTAAACAATAAAAAATTCAAGGGCAACACAATTCCAAATTGATTTGAAATTAATTATCCCATTTGATAAACTAATTTTCTTGCAGGAGGACAACCAGATGTTAGGAATCCACAGCACTGAAGAAAAAGATTTCCAAAAATCTTGAAACAAAAGGCAAAAATTTATTCAGGGCTTGTCTTAACAGGAATCCCCAGCCCCATCTGCAGCTCTCTCTTTCGCACTTGAACCTTCTCTGTGCCAGGAGGGGGCTGTTATTCTATCCTCTTTGGCCCAGAGGTGGTCCTGTTTAAGTGGTGGCTTATTTCTCTTTTATGTTCTTTTTGGTCATTGACAACATTTCTGAAAAAAAAATTAAATGTTTAATATTATTGGATACATATTTACTAAAAATATTTTTTTCTTTTAGAATCTCATTAGTTTTTAAACATCAGCAATATAACCCATACTAACAGCAACTCTGAGTGCTCATGGGAAATCATATCCAAATGATGCCCAGTTTTAGTCCTGAAATCTTATTTTAAAATGATGTATTTGCTCTCTATGTGAAATAGTTCATCACACCGATCTGTGAAGACTATATCTCTGTTTGGCCATCTGAAATCTATAATGTTCTATAATAATTAGTGGGCTATAGGTTTTTCTTTCAAATACTCATATTTTCTTTTGTTAACTCTTGGCCAAGTATATGTAGTTTCATTTGGACTTTATGAATGTCTTTATCTTTATATCTTAGAACTGAAAAGGGTTTAGGGTTAAGTGAATATGCAGATTTACATGGTTAACAAAGACCCAGGTCTTCTGGGAGCCACGCCCAGGGCCTTTTTATGATCTCATCACACTTAACTCTCTCACTGGTTCCTCTTTATTTTTTTTTATAAATGTACACAATTGTAAGGAGGTCTTTTATCCTGTGTCTTTTTTTTCTTTTTACCTACACACATATCTGGAACAATTTGTATTGTGCAAAATATTTTCTATGATGTCTGATATGCTAAATTAGATAAATACAAAATCACTAAGAATAAAAATCATTCACTGATATTTTGGCATAGATTTTCTTATTTATGTTCTCTTATTATCCACCTATTTATGAACAGTAAACACAATTTTTTTTTCAGTTTCATTGTAGTATTTCCTCTTTCCCTTAAAGATCCATATCTGATACTGATTTTTGAAGAGAATTGAAATAAAATTGTGATTATATATCTCTCAGATTTCTCCTATTACAAAAAAATAAATCAAAGGTGGTTGATTTAACTAAAAAAAAAATTGGAAAGAATAAATAAGCTGTTGTATATCAAAGCATTGTTTTTATTAAAAATTTTTATGTTTTATTACGCTAGTTTAACATTCTATTTATTTTGCCCATAAAGATAATATTTCAGAATTTGTTTTTTAATCATTTACAGTAATTTTTTCAATCTAATAGGTTGTTTTCTTAATAACCCTTTCCTCCTTTCTTTTTATTGATTTTTATTGAATTTATTGGTTTGACATCATTTAATAGAATAATATAGCTTTCACATGTACAATTCTATGATAAATTATCTGTATATTGTATTATGAGTTCACCACCCCAAGTCAAGTCTCCTTCCATCACCATGAACCCTCTCCCACTTCCCTCCACTCCACCCCCATACTCTGTGTCTATGAGATTTGGGGAAGTGGTGTGTGGATTTTTTTTTCCGTAATCACATAATCCCTTCACCTTTTCACTCAGCCCCCAACCAACTTCTCTCTGATAGCTATCAGTTGGTTCTCTGAGAGTCTGTTTCTATTTTTTGTTTAGTTTATTTTGTTCATTAGATTCCACATATAAGTGAAATCATATGGCATTTGTCTTTCTCTGACTGGCTTATTACACTATAGTTTGTTAAATTATATTTAAAAATTGAATTATAATGTTTTTTATAAAGAATCCTAGTTTAGCTCAGTTTTAAAAGATTTTCTAATCTCTCAGAACTGAAAAGAATCTTGATCAATATCATAATTCTTTTAAAATATGAACCGTGTTATCTAACCCTTGCCAATTTAATATTTTTGATGAAGAATAAAAATTGAAAATAAAAATGCAGCTGGTGAAATTTACAAACATGCACAGCAAACTGTTTTTCAGCAAGTCTTTTAAAAATTGTTTAACATACTAAGTCTTTGAAATCCATGTATATTTTACACTTGTAGAGCATTCCACACTAGACCAGTGTTTCCAAAACTTTTGACATATGTGTACCCCTTCTATAATTTTCGTAATGCTGAGTACCCCTTGTACTCATGAGAATATACAATTAGGCACAGATAAGCACAGTGCAGTTCATATCCCTACCAAACTCTTCCCGTATCACTGGGGGTACACATACCACACTTTGGGAAAACAGTGATAACCACATTTAAGATAATAAGTAGTCACATGAGGCTAATGGCCAATGTGCTAGACTGAGCAGCCTAGGGTGTGACAGATGTGAGAGTATCTTTCCCTCATTCTTCATTCTCTTTCAGCCACCTGGGTTGGAGGAGGTTACATCAATGGGACAGCTGAAGCAGTGTATGTACCAGATTATGGTCTAGCTTGGGCTCAGGCACCAATTGGATATTCTCTCAGTCTGATTTTAGGTAAGTGAAAGTTTAAACCTCAGTGATCCACTCAGTAAAGAACATGAATATAAGTAACAAGCAAAATAAGTCAAACAATGCAAATAACATTTCTGGGAAAATGTTACCAGAAATCTTTAGCTACTACAGAAATTGGTAGCAGATGCATAGATCATTAGATTTCTTGATTATGGAATACATTTTTAAAAAATCCCTTGACATTTTAGCTACCAGAATAGTGATTTCTTTAACATAATGATGTTGTTGTTGTTTTTTTTTCTTTCAAAAATAGCATGGATATATAATTTAAAATGAATCAACTTGAATTGTACCTGAATTTCTCTGTGTAAATCACACTAATAAAAGGTCACTAATGTTATGTAACAGAGTATTCCTTACTTATTTTTGGACCTAAAATAGTTTAATTAAATCTTGGGCTTAATAAAAATATCTGAATATCTGCTGTGCTCAATAATGCATCAAGGCATTTTGTGGGTGCTGTGTTGGTCCATGTTTTTTAATCCACATGCCTCAGATACACACTCAATTGTTCTTGGGATACATACAATAATAAAGGTATTAAGAAATTTGCCTGTGGTTGCTGACTATTGCTTGGTTCCATATTCATATTTTCGACTTGTTCCTAAATACATATGTGTCCTTAAAAAATCATTTCTCTTGAGAAATTGTAGCATAATGAAAGGTTGGCCAAGACTATTATATTAGGAATTAGCAATTTTGTCATAAACATGTTTTCATTCCTTTCAGGTGGTCTGTTTTTTGCAAAACCTATGCGTTCCAGGGGCTATGTGACCATGTTAGACCCATTTCAGCAGATCTATGGCAAACGCATGGGCGGCCTCCTATTTATTCCTGCTCTAATGGGAGAAATGTTCTGGGCAGCAGCCATCTTCTCTGCCTTAGGTAAGAATGAATGAAACATTGCTCTACTGGACTCTCTGGTTCACCATCAGATACACAACTTTACTTTCTTCAGCCACAGGTCAGGCCCCCCCCCCCCTTCTTCTTCTGGATTAATACAACCATCTCCCTGCTTACAGTTCTGTCGCCTCCTGTAGTCTACTCATGGTAGCCAGACTCATCCGTCTAAACTACAAATGTAATTATATCTCTTTTCTGCTTAAAGTCAAACTTTGTAACCAGGTCCATAGGCTTTATATGACTTAACCTCTGATTTTCTCCTCTCATCATTCCCCTCCCCTCCTTTCTTTCTTTTTCATAACTATAGTTCCCTCTTGCCTCTGACACTGTGCAAGCCCAGGTGCCCTCTGCCTTGGACTCCTTTCTCTTCTTTCCTTTCTCACATCTGCCTCGCTAACCAAAAAGTTTCCTCCAGATCTTCTTAGAGATGCCACTTCCTCAGAGAAGCCATCCTAAACTTGCTAGATGCTTTTTGTGTGTGTGTGTGTGGCTTCTTTAGACACACCAAAATTTTGTTTTCAATTGACTTACCACTTTGTGTGGTTATGGCCTGTTTATTTCATGCTCAATTTTCAATCTCATAAAAAAATTATAAATTTCTTAAAAGCTGGGTTTATGTTTTGTTAACAGCTGTAATCCTATCATAAATAAATAAATAAACCATATAGATTGATTTAATTTGTCCATTAGTTACTTTTTTATTTTTTAATTCAATTTATTGAAGTGTCATTGGTTATTAAAATTACATAGGTTTTAGGTATATAATTCTGTGAGTATCATCTGTATTTTGTCTCCTCTCCTTCCATCACCATTTATTCTTCCTTTACCTTCTAAACTCTCTTACTACTCCTCTTCCCTCTGGCAATCAACATACTGTTGTCTGTGTCCATACTTGTCCATACTGTTTTCTTCTTCTTCTTCTTCTTTTTTTTTTTTTTTTTTTTTTGCTTAATCCCTTCACCCTTCTCATCTACCCCAAACCTCTCCCTCTCTAACTGCTGTCAGTATGTTCTCTATATCCATGAGTCTGTCTCTACATTTTTGTTAATTTATTTTGTTCAGTAGATTTCACATATAAGTAAAATCATATGGTACTTATCTTTCTCTGACTAGCTTATTTTACTTTGCATAAAACTCTCCAGTTCATTCATGCTGTCACAAAAGGTAAAATTTTTATTTACAGTGGAGTGAGTAGTATTTCATTGTGTAAATGTACCACATTTTTATATAATATATTGTGTAAATGTATCACATTTATATCTACTGATGGGCACTTAGACTGTTTCCAAATCTTAGCTATTATAAGTAACACTGCAATGAACATAGGAGCTCATATATTTTTTTAAATTTTTGTTTTAAGTTTCTTTAGATATATTCTAATAAGTTGAATAACTTAGTAATGAGGCATTTCTATTTACATTTTTGAGGTAACTGCATCCTGCTTTCCACAGTTCCTGCATAAATCTGCATTCCCACCAACAGTGTACAATTTCTCTTTATTCACATCCTTGTCAATACTTCTTGTTTATTGATTTATTAATGATAGCCATTCTGAAAAAATATGAGTTAATATCACCTTGTGGTTTTTATTTACATTTCTCTGGTGATTAATGATGATGGACATTTTTTCATTATGTCTATTTGCCATATGTATGTCTTCTCTATTCAGGTCCTTTGCCAATTTCTTAATTAGATTGTTTTTCAGTGTTAAGTTTTATAAGTTACTTAAAAATTTTGCATACTAACTCCTTATTAGAAGTATTGGCATATGGGTTTGTCATATATGGCCTTTATTATGTTGAGGTATGTTCCCTCTATTCCCACTTTGCTAAGAGTTTTTATAATAAATGGGTGCTGGATTTTATCAAATGGTTTTTCTGCATCTGTTGATATAATCAAATGATTTTTATCCTTCATTTTGTTTATGTATCATATTTATTAATTTTTGGATATTGTACCAACCTTGTATCCCTGAAATAAGGCCCACTTGTTCATATTGTACAACATTTTTAATGTATTGCTAGATTGGGTTTACTAATATTTTATTGAAGATTTTAGCATCTATATTTATCAGGGAAATTTTCTTTCTTTGAAGTGTCTTTATCTAGTTTTAGAATTAGGATAATGCAGGTCTCATAAAATAAGCTTGTGAGTTTTTCCTTCTCTTAAAATTTTGGAATAGTTTGAGAAACATAGGTGTTAGTTCTTTGAATGTTCGGTAAATTAACCTCTGAAGCCATCCATCCAAGACTTTTGCTAGTTGCAAGTTTTTTGTTTTGTTTTGTTTTTACTGCTTTAATTTCACTAAATGTAATCTGTAAATTCATATTCATTCTCTGATTCTTCCTGATTCTGTTTCAAAAGATTGTATATTTCTAGGATTTTGTCTATTTCATCCACATTTTTAGCATATAGTTGTTCATAATATTTTCTTACAACCCTTTGTATTTCTTTGGTATGGATTGTTATTTCTACTCTGCCTTTTTTTTTTTTTTTTTTTTTTTGATGAGTCTTCCTAAAGGCTTGTTAATCTTTACATTTTAAAAGAACCAGCTCTTGGTTTCACTGGGGTTATTTGCGTGTGTGTGTGTGTGTGTGTGTTTGTGTGTGTGTGTGTGTTTTAACTCTTTCATTTATTTCTGTTCTGATGTTTACTTGCTTTTGGCTGTGTTTGTTGTTCTTTTACAAGTTTCTTTATGTGTAAAGTTAGTTTTGGGTTTTTGGTTCTTTTTTGAGATTTTTCTTGTTTCTTGAGGTAGATCTATAATGTTATGAATTTCCCTCTTAGGACTATTTTCCCTGTGTCCCATATATTTGGGGTTGCTGTGTTCATTTTCATATATTTCAAGGTATCTTTTGATTTCTTTCTTGATCTCATTGTTAACCCATTCATTGTTTAATAACATATTATTAAACCTTGATGTGTTTGTGTATTTTTCATGGTGTTCTCCCACCACCACCCCCCTGCTTGGGATTGATGCTTAGTTTTATATTTTATGTTTGTTTTTTTATTTTTATTTTTTATTTTAAGTGTTAGTCTTGCTGGATAAAGTAGCCTTTGTTGTAGGTCCTTGCTTTTTTTTTTTATCACTTTGAATATTATATGTCTTCCCTTCTGGCATGAAGTATTTATGTTGAGAAATCAGTTGACAGTCATATAAAGCTCCATTGTAGGAGCTCCCATACTGCTTTTCTCTTGCTGCTGTTATGATTCTGAATTTGTCTTCAATATTTGCCATTTTAATTATGATGTATCTTGGTGTAGGCCTTTTTGGATTCATCTTGTTTGGTATTCTTTGTACTTCCTGCACTTGTGTTTCTTTTTTCTTTACCAAGTTAGAGAAGTTTTTGGTCATTATTTCTTCAAATAAATTCTTTATCCCTTGACTTCACTTTCTCCTTATGGAAACCCTATAATTAGAATGTTGCTATGTTTTATGTTGTCCCAAAGTTCCTTTAAATATACTCATTCTTCCTAATTTTTTTTTTCCTATTCTGATTTTGTGGATTTTTTCTATCTTGTTTTCCAAATTCCTGATTTGATTATTTGCTTCATCCAACCTATTTTTTATTTCTTTCAATATATTCTTCTTTTAAAAATTCTTTATTGATTTTACAGAGGAGTAAGGGAGAGGGAGAGTGAAAGAAATATCAGTGAGAGAGATATATCAATTTGCTACATCCTTCACACCCTGCCCCCCACTGCGAACAAGTCTACAACCCAGGCATGTGCCCTGACCAGGAATTGAAACAGCAACATTTTAGCCCATGGGATGACACTCAACCAACTGGGCAACACCAACCAGGGTTCCAGTGTATTCTTGATGTCAGATATGGTATTCTTCATTTTTGACTGATTCCTTTTCATGGTTTCTATGTCCCATTTCATGGTGTGTAGTTCTCACTAAATTTATTGACCATGCTAATAACCACTACTTTTAATTATTTCGTTGATACATTTCTTGCCTCCAATTGATTTAGCTCTTTCTCTGAAGTGTTCACTTGCCCTTTCATTTAGGACCTGTTTATTTGTCTCCCCAATTTGGCTGCCTCTTAATACTAGTTTATATATATTAGATATATCTGCTATGATTCCCAGTATTTTGTGGAGTGGCCTTATATAGTAGGCGTCCTATGTAACCCTCTGATGCAGTCTCCTTGATCATCTGAGCTGGGTGCTCTAGAAATATCACTTGTGTTGGTTATGTGGCCCCTCCCTTTTACTTCAGTCTTGACTGCTATTGTCCTATTTGTGCATGAGATTGAACCTTAGGGTGCTGACTGTGAGGCTCAAACACCAATTATAATATGTGAACTATTGTGCAGATGCTGATTGCATAAAGCAGAATTTCCCACAGCAGGGTTTAATGCCTGCTGAGATTGCCCTTTGGATATTGTGAAGTTTACTGGGTCTTGCTCTGATGTTGTCTGTGGCTGGTAACTGGGTGTATTACTTCAGGGCCTCTTGGGACAGACTCGAGCAGGACAATATCAGTCTGTGCCTGGTTCTTGGTAACCTGTTTGAATCTACAAGTGATCCATAATTGTGGCTGCATCTGCTGAGCTTGTATGCATTCAGGAAGAATCAAGATAAGCAACAAGGCCAGCTTTTACCAACATCCAATTCAGGAAAAAAGTCAACAGAAGTCCCAAGACAATCCAATGAGATATGCCTTCTGCTGCTTCTGCATGCCAGCTGCCTATTAAGCTCGGTTATTGAAAAAACCTCTTGCGGATAATGTTTAGTGGGTTTTCCATTGGGGGGGTTGTCAATCAGGCTTGAGAGAAAGTAGTTGGTGTGATACCTGCCCCAGATCTACAGTATTCTGTCTCTCCTGGATTTTTCCCTAACCTAGAAATGGCAGAGTCATTATGAGTTGGATGGATGGGGCCTCTGGAGCTCAGAGGAAGAGTCTGTCAGAAGCCAGGAGGGTGTTTTTATTAGATTTCTCATGAGGGGGAAATTCCAATCAGGTTCACAA